TTGATCCCAGGACCCCGAGATCATGACCCTAGCTGAGGGCAGACACTTAACCATCTGAGCCACCCAGGTGCCCCTTTCTGGTTTTTTTTTTTTTTTAAGATTTTATTTATTTATTTGAGAGAGAGAGAGAGTGAGCGAGCCAGAGAGAAGGAGCAGGGGAGAGGGAGGGAGAAGCAGACTCCCCACTGAGCAGGGAGCCTGATGCAGGGCTCAATCCCAGGACTCTGGGATCATGACCTGAGCTGAAGGCAGATGCTTATCTGAACCACCCAGACACCTCTAAACTGAACATTTTAATAACATTTTAAAATCAGTACAAAATATCTGGGTTGGGTGCTGTACCTTTTTAAGGAGTTATCACTCAATGCTTTTTTCTTAACGCATGCTCACAAATCAGCAGCATCAAGAGAAAAATAGAACACTAAGTGACAGTCATTTTAGTTTCTTGCAGAGCCAAGCAGGGTTTTATCAGCAACAACATACTTATTAACAAATTGTAACTTTGATACCCATCAAGACAGAAATCTAAGGTAAAAATATATTCATCAGTTAGTAATTAATCTTTGGGAGCTTTGAAATACTAGACAATTTTTTGTACTTTCAAAAACTATGAGCAATTTTTTTGTGGTCAAAAAGCACTGATAAATATGGACAGCGAGCGATAAGACACTAAAAAGGAAGGTGGACCGAAATAATCCTAATTTGAGTTTGGTTATTTTGTTGTGTTAACATAGACTGTACGTCTCAAGTTAAATATTTTTTAATATACCATTTGTTGAATAATGCTGTTACCGTGAAGGAATTCACTACGCATAATGTCAAAAGCTTGCCCCTGGCACATTTCACGGTTTCTATTGCATTGGTCAGTTTGCACCACATAATGTAAACTATGCAAGCAGTGTATTCACAGCACAGACCTTGCTTGGCTCTCTCCCTGCCCTAAGCCCAACTCCAAAATAGATGCAGCCTGGAAGCTACCACCCTAGTCTGTGAAAACTGGTGGACCTTGGCTACCACGCCTTTTGAGCATGTGGTTCCTGGTTCATTGCCACGGCCATACCAGGGTGCAGAAGGGAGCTACACAGTCAGACCTAAGGCAGGAGCTCCAGTGCTCTGACTATTCAGCTAGATCATTCTGCTGCAACTCAGAATCTGCATGGAGGCTGCTGGGACTCGATGGGTGCTCTAGATACGTGGCTCTGTGGCTGTGATGTGCTTGGGCCGGCATGGCGGATGGCAACGTGCGGACTGGACCGATGGGGTCTCAGGGCATGATTAGTCCACCTGACGTGGTAGGAGCAGCCCACTAGTGTCAATGGGGCCCCTCCTTCTGACTGCGGTCTAGAGTCCCTGCATGACCAGTTTCATTAGTGTCATTACTGTTCTGCTTTTGTTTTTGTCTTCTTTATCATCAGGTCCAGATTTGGGTAAGGAATGTGACAACCCACAAACATGTCTGATATAGGAAGTGGATTTTTAAAAATTAGCGATCCTACCTTGTTGCTTCTGAGTAATTCTCCATAGTGACCATAGTAAGCAACTTCTGAAGCCAAGTGGAATGTTTCCTAATCAGGTTTAACTTTATATTTTTCCAAATTCTTGTTAAGGCTACAATTAATATATGTATTTCTTCTGAAATCATTAATATTGAATATTCAGGCTTTGCTTTTATATCTCCACAAAATCCCATTAAACTGGATATCTCTGCAGTGAGGCTGAATGAAGATGGTTAGTTTTGATGATAAAGAAGTAAAAGGCTGGAGTGGATTATGAAATCTATATTTTTACAGCACCCCTCCCCCACAATTCTTATGCCCAGTGACGTTTGGTCCTCACTCTTGCACCACTGGGAAGAGCGCAGACTTTCAGAATTAGTTTTGAATTCAAATCTGGACTTCTCTTAATGCCTCATCTTTGCCAAGCCTCTCCGCAAGTCCTCTGTAAAATGGGGCAGTGAGACCCAAATTTTCGGAGTCGGGGGCGGTCGCGAGTATTAGAAGTGAAAACACCGGCCCTTTAGCAACCCCCCCCCCGCCCCCTTACCTGAATGAAGACCCGGAGCGTGGCGCGGCTCACCAGCACGGTGCACACTCGCGAGGCGGGCTCCGGCTCCCCGTCAGCCGTCTCCAGCTCGTACTTCTGCCCCATGATGATTGCCATGGGCAGGGCGAGGCCGAGCGAGGCGGCCCAGACGAGCGACAGCAGGCGGCGGGTCCGGCGCGGCGACAGCAGGCGGCGGGCGCGCAGGGGCTGGCACACGGCCAGGCAGCGCTCGGCGCTCAGGCTGGCTACGCTGAGCACCGTGGTGTAGGCGCACAGCTCGCGCACGAAGTAGTAAGCGCGGCAGCCCAGGTCGCCGAACGCCCAGGGGTAGTGGAACCACACGAAGTTGTAGAGCTCCACGGGGACGCTGACCAGCAGCAGCAGCAGCCCGGAGAGAGCCAGGCTGAGCACGTGGTAGCGCAGGCGCCCCGGGGGCCCGGCGCGCCCCTTCAGCACCACGTGCGCGGACAGCGCATTGCCCGCCGTGCCCAGCGCGAAGATGAGCGCGTAGAGAGCGGTGAACAGCACCTTGGCCCAGAGGCGCGTGTCCACGCCCAGCCGGGCGTCCAGGCTCAGCGCGGGGCTCGGGCTGGGCCTCGGGGGCTGCGGGTTGCTGCTCTCCATCCCGCTCCCGCGGCCGGCGCTCCCTCCCTCTCACTGCGCGGAGACCGGGCGAGCTGCCCAGAGAGGAGAGCGAGCGCCTCCTCCTCGCCGGGAACCTCCAGGATGGGAGGATCCGCCCCCCCGCCCCC